AATAGATTATACCACAAGACTTCTCTTTTCTAATGTAGTAGTTGAATTCTGGTAGTGATGGAGTAAGATAACTCTGATCTTTTATGCTGTATGTATTTGTTTCATTACCCTGTTTGATTTTGTTAAAATCTAATTTTATATGTTCTTAGTTACACTAAATAAATGCGAGGTGTTGTGTCCATCGACTTCTGAGAATTTTACTCCATCGACATACATGAAATCCACAGCTTCATTTCGTATCCTATTCAAGTACTCTGCTTAAATCATCTGAACTAGCCACAGTATTATACAAATATATCTATTTATTTATTTTTTATTTTGAAATGTGGTAGGAGTTTGTTTATTTAATCACTGCCATTATACAGGATGTCCAGTGGATATACTGACTGGTATTAAAAAACTCTTAAACAAAGGCTAATACATGAATGAAACAAATGTTTGTTTATCGTGATAGCTGTAAACCTTCACTCAGAAATTCTGGAATTTAGTCACAAAGGTTGCTAATGGCGATTTCCGCTGCACAGAGTTCTTAAAAAGAATACAGATACCGTTGAACTGTAATCTGAAAACCTGAGATTCTCCTGTAGCAGAAACACACAGAGTTCGATTGAATGCAATTTTAAAATCTCCTATTTATCTACTTTTACGTTTCAAAGTGGAACCAATCATTCTGGTCATCGAGTGCTTGCAGTGCTATCTATGAGCAACTTCAGCAACTAAATTCAAAATTTCTGCGTAAAACATTTACAGCTTTCACAATAAACATACCGTTTAGTCCATTCATCTATAGCCTATATACGAGTATCTGTCCATCCATCTATAGCCTGGTCAATTCATCTATATATTGGAGAGATTTTTAATTTGAAATTAGTCAGTTCTCCCTTGTATATGCTTTCAGAAATTTTAAAAATACTATTAAATTAATCAATTTTATTAAATCTTATCAAAAGTTCTATTAATTAATCTAAAGAAAAAATATGCAAATTATTTAATAGTTTAATTAGAAACAGATACTAAAGAATTAAATATTTATTGATTTATGATTCTAACGAAGGAAACGACAAAAAAAAAATTTTTATATTTAAGAATCATTACTTAACATGAATTATTTACAATGCTATGTATCTCATTATAATTATCAAAATATTTTAGAATATATTTTCAGTTTCTGTTAATAAATCATATAAAGTTATTTAGAATATAATCAAGCATATTTTCTTTCAAAATGACTCTTTTCACAGAAAAAGCATAACATTGTGTTCTGTGAAACAGAACAAAGCTTATCAGCTTACAGAAGAAAGCTAAGTCGTAAATGTTTAGCTTTAGTCCTTGCTACTTTTTTCCCATCAGCTCACGCAAGACTGCAATCACTTTATGTATACACACTACCTCACCTTATTGGTATTTTTTTTGTTGCTGAATTTACCTTTACAATACAAGATTTCTTCATCTTTTTTGTGGTTTTTTGCGTGCGTCGATGACTTAGGATATCTGGAGTTTATCAAAAACACGTAAATAAATACGCTTATTTTTCTTTACGTCTGGGATATAAATATTTATTTTGCTCGAAAATGTGTTTTGTATATTTGATAAAAACAAAATATAAAGAGATATAAGTGATGTTGTTGTTATACTATAAAAAATATCCTAATTTCAAAGTAATACAAGAGCATTATAATAAAAGCATGTATATGTTTAGTTAAATACTAGGTGGCTAAGCCCCCTGTTCGCTGCCGCTCATCAACCCCAATGATTGCTTCGCAATAATTGTTGTTTCTTCGCAGAAAACAGTTTTTCTACTAAACTTAAAATTATTCACTTAAATTATATGCACTAAAATGAATTTTGTTTGCTTACGCTTGAGCCTCCACTTTCCACGTTCAAATAATATTATCTTTTATTATTACAAATATTTAGATCTATAGGTGAGCAGAAGTAATTCTTCTAAGTCATCATTTGCAAAGTTTAACAGCATTTAACGCCTGCTTTTATTGCAAGGGCTGGATTTTCTTCATATGAAGTAAAGAATAGTAAACTGAAGAATAAAGCTCCTTTTATCAAAGCCATTTCTTTAAATGCAGACGTAATCTTACATAATGGTGTACTTTGATAGTTGGGAGGTCTCCGTTGAAAAATCTCATTCTAGTAAGTATGATCCAGTCGTTTAGGGGGATTTCTCTTTTTAAAAAATTATCTTCCTTCGCTTCTTTTATTTTTCGCGTAAAAAAATACTTCCTTTTTTTCTTTACAGTTTAAGAGTTGCTTTCTACAAGAATATTTCTTTAAATATCTCTAGTGACTTTAACTCGATTAATTTTTATTGATTACAATGCTTTTCAGTGGTAATTTTGCATTTATTTTTCATTAAATATACACATCCTTGGAGAAAAATAAGATTTATTGAAAAGTACAATTTATTCAGAGAAAAAAAAACTATTCGAATAGAAACTAACATTAAAGTTAATTAGAATAACATATAATATAAAAGAACTCGAAAATATAAATAAAAGTAAATAGATGAAAAAGAGTAAATTGGATATTAATTGAAAAATAATTAAAAAAATATATAACTAATTAAGTAAATAAAGTAATTCGCTCAACGTCTACTAAAATATTTTGCATTTATTTAATTAACCAAAATATCTTTTTAGCATGAATAAATAATTAATCGAATGAAAATTAAATTT